TTCAAAAAAAACCCTAAACCCTAAAACCTTAGGCATGTTCAGACCTGGCTCGTTTGGGTCCGCCCCCCAGGAGCTGCCTCATGTCGTCGCTTTTTGCCAGATCTAATGGCACGTGCCCAGCAGGAGACACGGATGTCAGATCAGCTTTGGCAATCATAAGCAGTTGAGCAATCTCTAGTGAATCTTTTGAGGAAGCAGCATGCAAAGCTGTGGGCATGTCTTCATGTTCACTTGTTTGATGCAGATCAGCTCTGTTCTCCAGTAGCACCTGCACAGTTTCGGGGTGGTTGCGCAGGGTTGCTCCAAACAGCGGACTTTCTGAACTCGTGTTGCTTGCATTGACACTGCACCTGCTCTCCAGCAAAAGCTTCACCGTCTTGGCGTGACCCCGCTTAGCAGCCAAAAGCACCGGCGTGGCCCCGCAGTCCATGATTGTAGTGTCCGTACGTCGGACGTTCACATCTGCACGAGCTGCAATGAGCTCTTTCACCACCTCTGTGTACCCAAAAAGTGAGGTCTGCAGAATGGCGGTGCTTTGATCCCAATTGGCTCTTTCCTGCTCTGCATGCATGAGCAGTTCCTACAAATCAGTATCTCGACAAGCACCTGAACCTTGTTAGAACTCTAGTCAAGCATTCCCACGCAACATGGCCAGTCGGCAAAGAAAACTTACACTTCTTCAACCAAACTGCATTCACATTGGCCCTTTGTGCTAGTAGCTTCTGCACCAGCCCTATGTTGCCTGTATGCGCCGCACCAAACAGCGGCGGTGGGCAATGGTGGAAGGCCAGATTTATATCTGCCCTGCAGCGCAACAAGACATCCACAACTTCCTCATTGTCATGTTCTGCCGCACTGTAGAGGGGAGTTCCATCGCATGAGTTTCCATGGTTGGGATCTGCCCTGGCAGCCACTAGGGCATCAACCAGATGGGCATGACCAGCCTTTGGGAAGGGACCGTCATGGACATGTGATGGAAGGTCATGCATGCTGATGGGAGTTATGGCAGAATCTTGTAAGCCGTCTGTGGCTCAGTCAGCAATGAACTCTCTAAGGCTCCACGCTGATAATGTAGGGGCATTAATGTCATTAATGATTGGGTTCGGTTCTGGCTTCTTTATAGTATAGCGATAATGAAGACCCCTAAAAGAATAATGTTGGTAAGCATTTAGGATTCTATCTTAACCCTGCTCCCCAGCCGTGGCAGCCAGTTGCAAGGGACTCTGTCCCCGATCCGTCTCGGCATGGATGTCCGCACGCTGGGCCAGCAGCTGCTGCAACTCATCAGCAGTGCACCCAGTTCTGGCAGCTCGAAGCAAGGCTTCAGTCATGGCTACTATTGGGGCCTTAATGATTAGACCATTATACTGTAATTATACTAAGGAACCCCAAAATATTATAGGTATTTATGAAGGCCCCTACATCATGTGCTTGAGCCCAACTTGGCTCCATGGGGCAAAGGCCATGGCGGCCTGCCTCAACCGAACATCTTACCCGCCCAGCAGTTGGAGAGATTACTGTAGGGGCCTAAATAATTAGAATAGGGTTTTGGGATATAGTATACTATAACTA